TTTTTTTTTTTTTTACATGAAAGTGAGATTTTTTTCAGAAACTATAGAAAGTTTACTCCACAGACAGCAGAAGTAAGTTCTCCCTGGAGAAAAAAACTGGCAGAAAATTGTTTTTTAATGTATGTTTGACAGTGTTATGAGCTGAACCTAGGTTGTTTATGATTCCAAGTCCCATGCTTTTTCTAAGATTTTTAATGTTTCTTCCTGGGAAAGAGAAGAAAAGGAAGCAACGTGTCTTTGAAGGACTACTGGCAGTATTGAACAAGCACCACTTGCTGGCTTTCCTTAGCTAATAGATTTTGATCAAGAGAGTCCATGGCAATCCTTCCTTCATCTGTCCTCTTTCCTCGCTGCCTCCCCAAACATAGCTGGGTTTTAAGCAGTTACGTTTCTGAAGATAGTCAAACTATTTAAAGAGCTATTCTTTTTTTGTTTGTTTGTTTTGGAGACAGAGTCTCAGTGTCACCCTCGGTAGAGTGCTATGGCTTCACAGCTCACAGCAACCTCAAACTCTTGGGCTTAAGCGATTCTCTTGCCTCAGCCTCCCAAGTAGCTGGGAATACAGGCGCCTGCTACAACACTGGCTATTTTTTTTTTTTCTTTTTAGGTTGTAGTTGTCATTGTTTGGCAAGCCTGGTCTGGGTTCCAACCCACCAGTTCTGGTATATGTGGCCGGCGCCCTAGCCGCTGAGCTACAGGCGCTAAGCTGAGCAATTCTTTTTTAATAATGGAATTTAAAAACATAGTTGAGCCACAGCAGTGGGAGTGCTTCTTGTCTCTATTTGTACCCCACATCCAGTTTAGGTTCCCCACATTTCTATTCCTAACCAGAAAAAATTTGGCTTTTTTTTTCCTGAGTGTTTTTGCCATGGCAATGGCTTTTTAGAATTTGGCTTTTCAAACTTAGCTCAAGACTCACTTGAGATGCAGAGAGAGCATTTTCGCCACATGGAGTGCCTGCAAGGTTTTCATGTTCTGGCATGATTGGGAAGCAGCCACATGTGAGGTCATGTGGAAGTGAGGCCACCTCTGTGGATCTCTGTCGCACAACCTCTGTAAGTGTGGGCCAGTTCAGCGTACACACAGTAATAACTGCTCTGTGATTTCAGAGAAGCTGCAAACCATTTCATCTCTCTAGAGACAAGAGGATACAATTGCAGTCTTTACTTATGGCAACTTAATGCAGTGATGGAGAATCTGGGTAGTGGGAAAATAGCTTTCTGTGTAGTAGCATACGTGTGGCTAGCATAGAAATATTAAAGCCAACGGACAGGAATTGAAACCAGGTACAGTAGAAATCACCTTCCCCCAAAGAAGTTTGTAACCTGATTACCTAATCCTCCTTCAAGCTATGAAAATGTATGTGACTTATATTACTAATACTTATCATACTATAGGCAAATTGTGATCATGTAAACATACAAAGGAACTTAGGAAATTCATCCTTTGTTCTATCCATTAATTGCATTTGTTAGTTTATGAACCTTTTCTTTCTCACCATAAAAATTAGCCATTGTGTTTTCTTTAGCGTTTATAAGAAAATAGTTCCCCTCCTTCTTGTTTTTTTAATATTAGCTAATTTTAAAAAGAAACATGTTAAATAGAAAAATTACATTTTAATGATCATTTACCGTTAATCTCTGTTTTATATATTGTACTCCTGTTACTCACTGTATTCACTGAGTATTTTATATTACAGAATTGACTGTGGATTCACAGACCCATATATCTAAGATCTTTCAAACGTAATTATCTTATTATGATAGCTTATTTTCTTATTAGAAGAGTAATTACATGTTTATTAAATAAAAACTGAGAACACAGAAAAAGGTCAAAAAGAAAAGGAAAATTATTTTATATAACCACCCCCCAGAAATGAGTCATGATTACATCTTAGAATATTTCTTTCTAGTTTTTAGTCTGTATTTCTCCCAGTTTTTAGTTATTGTTTTATATTACACTTTATATGTTGATTTACTGCCCAACATAATCATTTTTGTCATCAAGTCCTCAAAACTATACTTTTAATCACGAATATTTCTTCACACTACTGTGCTCTCCTGAACCATCCTACAAGTTTTAGATGCTTTGTTTCTGTTTTACTAATCTAAACAATATTATGACAGACGTCTTCATGTTTGTAACTTTGCTCCATTTCATACTATATGCGAAAAGAAAATCTTGAGGATAAATTCTTTTAATCAGAATTTATGTAAGCATATATTTAATACATCCCTGGGCAGAAAAGGCTCGCTGTCCTTAGAAAGGCCTGCTGATAGAGATGCCCCTTGGCTGCCATCTGGGAAGTTGGATTTTAGGGGTGTTCCCAACACTCTCCAACTGATAAGAATGACTCACAGTGCCCTTTTGTGCAAACAATATGGTTTATACAACATACTGCTTTCCTTCTGAGAGTCTAGAATTTTCGTACAGGCCAGGCAGAGAGTGCCTACATGACCAGCCTCAATAAAAACCCTGAGCAATAAGTCTCCAGTGAATTTCCCTGGTAGACAACATTTCGTACATGTTATCACAGCTCATTAAAGGATTTTTTTTTTCTTTTAAGACAGAGTCTTACTCTGTCACCCTGGGTAGAGTGCTGTGGCATCATTATAGCTCATGGCAACCTTAAACTCTTAGACTCAAGTGATCATCTTGCCTTAGTCTCCCAAGTAGTTGGGACTATAGGTGCCTACCACAAAGCCCAGCTAGTTTCTCTATTTTAACTAGAGCATAACTCTTGCTTATGCTGGTCTTGAACTCCTGAGGTCAAGCAGTCCACCTGCTTCGGCCTCCCAGAGTTCTAGGATTCCAGGCATGAGCCACCTCATCCAGCTTCATTAGAGGATTTAGGC